CAGACAAACACCAAAAGTTAGACACTGGCAAAATTTAAAATATTCACATAGAGAAAAACTGTCCTACCAATGACAAAAATATACATAGTGGTATATCGTTGATTAATGAATCCTCTGGGACCACCATTCTTTTATAACAAAGTTGGCTACGTACAAATAAACAAATGAGCAAACAAAAACACTTCTCCACCAAAAGACTTTCTAGGCAAGTAAAGGAATCCTGGAAAAGGCTGGAGAAAGCGAATTTCAGGGAACTGTCCATCAGGGAGGTGCTGAACTGTCCACCAGGTAGGTCCCACTTTGATACTGGGAGATTACAAAAGTACTCTCTAGGGATCACACAGCCCACTTCCCTTTCCTCCCTCCCCATCATCCTGTTCTACATTCCTTCCTTCCTCTCCTTTCTTTGTTTGCCTGATAACTATGGAAATGGAAAGAACATTTGTAAAGCACCTAGGATAGTCTCTAGACTGTGTAGATGTTTAAACAAACTGAGTTCTTTTTTCCCTTCACTTTACTTCTATAGTAAGAATCCCTTTCACCGTTTGATTCCCTCTTCCATTTTCCTTTTTCTTTTTCTTTCATTTTAACCCTTTCCTTATTCTCATTCTTCTTTTTTGGTGAGGAGTCACCATATAGACAAGAGGAAGGTTGCTTTCTGCCAGATGACTCCTTTCCTTTGAGGGGTGGGGAAGTTTATGCAATGTTTAAACATTCCCTGGAAAAAATAAGTTTCAAGACTCTACCATATTTTAAAAAACTTTTCCCTATCCTAATCCATCAAGAAGGATATTAAAGGCACCGTATGTGGTCTAAGAGTTTGATGGTTTGATTCAGTTGAGTTGTTACATTAACAAATGGCTATTGAGTGGGTGGAGGGGGGAGGTTCCCTAAGATACATATGAACCATATTTCAATAACATTTTTTGATTTAAAAAAAGAGCAAAGAAATAACTGTAGAAAACATCACACTTTATAAAAAAAACTTTAAACTATTAGAGGAGATAACAAATATTGACTTTTTTTTTCTTTTTCTTTTTGCATGGGAAATGGTAACTTGAAAAGGGAGCATGAAGGGGAGGGGAATGACAGACACTTCTGACCTTTGCAATGCAGCTATGGGCAAGAGACGGGAAAGAGCAACAATATACAGAGGGTGCCAAAAAAGTATACACATTTTAAGAAAAGAAAAAACTGTATTCAAATTGTAATGCTCAATATATACTGATAACAAAAGATGAATACAAGTCATGTGTATACATTTTGGGGGCACCCCTGCTATAGTCTGGGTCATGGAATTACATCCAGAACTTGGATTTCTCCAGGTAGGGAAAACAGAGTTAAGCAAAGGTAAAGCTAATGACTATTTTAAGATAACCACACACACACACACACACACAAAATGACTATGAGGGTAAAAAAAAACAAAACCTTCAGAAGGTCTCCTTCTCCATGAAAAGTCTTCCCAAAGCAGCATCATATGGTAATGGCATATAGGATAGGGCAAAAAGAGGAATGATATAATAAGAAAACTCTTTTTTGAATGACAGTGATTTGGTTTCTCTTATGAGACTTTAAGGTCAGGTGGAACTGTGAGCTTTCTGTATTTTAGGGAAGGGAGTGGAATTACCTCCCTCAGTAGACTTGTAATTCCTGAAGGACAAAAATGGCATTGTACTTACATTTGTATTTCTAATGACTATCACAGTGCCTGGGACAGAGCCTAGCACAGAAAGACACTTCACATTTATAGTCATAAGACATATAGTCAGTTAACTATACTGAATGACAACCAGGATACATCAACAGGGGACCTGGTGATTGCTAAGTGAGGAAATAAAATTATTTGGGCTTTCTGTCTTGAAAGTTCAAGTTACTGAGCACCCTTCAAGCCATTGCTAGGTTTGAAGTACTAAGAACAAACAGTATAAGTGTTGTTTTTCTTTTTTTTAACTGACAAAATCTGGACCACATGCAAACATGATTTTAGACTTTCCATGCTCAATTTCTTCCAGGCAAGAAAATAAATATCAATCCTAATAGTTTTAGTTTCAAACTTACTCAATAATATTGGAAAGCATGCATTTTTGGAGGCTTAACATCTATACCTCCATAAGTTTTTTAAAATTTCTTTTAACAATTATTTAAATTCCACTTTCATTGCTCAGCTGAAATCCTTATTTTATATTTTTCCCTTAAATCAATAGTATAATTAATATCATCATCTACCACACCACCATTTGAGATCATGGGGGAACAGGAGCTGTTTATCGCCACATCTCCAGTGTTGCGCATTTATTGGTTTTTAAATGAATATTGGTTGATTGAATAGAAAAGTTCCATAAAGTTTTCATTAATTTTCATGAACCCACTTTGCTTTGTGAATGTTTTATCAATGTATAAATGTTTCCTACATTTTATATAAACACCTAGCGTAGATAAAAGTAACTTTAAGAAAAATAATGATCAAGCTCAGAGCAAAGATGAACAATTTATCAAAAGTGAATGAGGTTCCTCCTAGAAGTGATGAAACCCCTAAGGGAGCTGTGACAATAACCAAGGTCATATAAAAGTATCAACCATTTGGTGATGCATACATACTCATTTAAATTGCATTTCTCGCAATGACATAGTAATATGTAATGCAGTAGTTATTACTGTGGCCATTATACCTATGAGGACACTAAACTTGAGAGAAATCATATATTTAGTAAGTGGCATATCTAGTTTTGAAACCCAGGCATACATGATATACAAGTTTTCTACATTATCTCCCATTGTCATCTGTCAGGTAGTGTTGAAAAATTTCACTAGAGAAAGGCTAAAGTACAAGGTTCTATTATTCTTTCCATATCTAAGACTCTAAGGTGGGAGTCTTACATCAACCTGTCTATAATAAACCAACTGCTAATTATAGTTTTCATATAATTATCAATCCCATTATAGTGGGCTTCTAAGAATTACCTTATTCAAATACTTGACATAATGAAATGAGATAGACCCTCTAAAAGTATTATTTTATTTTCATTGAGACTTGATTTATTTTCCAAAGAACAATGTCTACCAACACCTGTGATTTAGGTGTTTCACTTTATTGACATGGTTTTCTCACGAACTGACTTTGTTGAACCAGAACACCAAAAGGAAGAGACCTCAAAAGAATCTAAATTAGTGTAATTCCCCAGCTTTCAAAAAACAAAAAAAATGTGCTTGTAATTATGCCAATTTCCTCTAATAGTCTGAAAATCAGGGGAAAACTTAACAACAGCATAAAAGAAACCTCTTTGAAAATGAGCTTCAAGGGTTGAATATATATTCAACAACATTCTCCATGCTAATAACTTACCTAATTTGATTATTAGTTTGTGTTTAATTTCCCTTGAAAATAATTCACCTTTGTTAATAATCATTTAGCTCTGCAAAGTAAGACTTGTGAGTTTATGGGAATGGATTTTAAATAGTAGTTATTGCTAAGATGCTGCTGTAAATACAATTAGAAGAGTGAGTGGATAGAAGCATGGAGGAAGGGTGGCAGCTTATATGAGGACAAGAGCTAACAAGTTAGTTATTGGTGGTGTTCATTCAGATACACACAAACTTTCATCAACTCAGACCTTTATAGGGGTTTCCAAAAGAGACTCTAGTTACTCTTTAGTATAATCAATATATAGTTTTTTTAACAGATGGTAAGGTGCAGCCTATCATATTCAGTAAAAAACATAAATCTCTGGCAGTAACTTTACATTAAACAATTTTATGGGAGACATCATTGGAGAATGTTAGAGCTGTGGAGGGTCATCTCATCCACACCTCTCATTTTACAGAATAAAATCTGAGGTTAGAGAAAGAGAGAAGATTCTACAGGCATAGCCAGTATAAGACTCATGCTTCTGACTCCCAATTTTCCCATTAAACCTACACCCGCTATGAGGACCAGCCATGAAGTTGAATGTGTATGTTTCATTAACTTTACTGCCTAAGATGCATGCCAGCTGTGGAATCCAGTTGCTAACATTGTGTTTCAAAACAATAGGGTTTGTGTGATTATTTACTTCCAAATGTGGATTTTCAGTTATTTCAGATGATGCTCTCTCTCCTTACTGAGTCACCATAATGGCCACAAAAGTATTTTATACAGTCTAGACAAAACCACCAGCTTTTCACACTGAAAAGTAGTGAAGGTGTGTACTAGGAGTAAGGGACATGCTTTCATACCATTCCTGGACAAAGGCTGCTCAAATACCAAGTCCAGTGAACCTTTTTCAGGAAGTGCAGCTTGGAGTCAGCCAAAAAAAGTTTCAGACAAGGAGGAATGAATGGTAGTACGCTGCTTCAAAAATTTTCAAACCTCATTTCCTTGGGAGCACCAATCACCTTTACAAAAATCTGGGATGGGACAGTTATTCACTAGAAACTTCACTGAGTAACTGCGCCACCTCTTGATAAAATTTCTGAGTGTTGATTTCAAGTGGATTGTATAAGCTCGGAGAAAAATACACGATTGGGGGCAACAGGAGACTAGCTTCAGATCTGCTGTCTACAATAAAAATAAGCTCCTCAGCTTTAAAAGTGCCCAAATGCAAACTGATATGTTCAATTTTTTCTCAAGTACAGTCTACAGCTCCAGCTAACGCTGACTGACCGTGGGTCCTGTGGGTCAGGGCTCCAGGCGCCGGTAACCTGTGATGAGTTTGGGAACGTATAACGAGATCCCAAGCAGAGAGCCACCAAGGCGCCCCCTTTCCGAAGCATATCCGCTCTTGGAGCCTCTGTCTACTTAGAGACCAGGGTCCTGTCACAACCGAGTTACCAACCCAACATCGGACACCAGTAAATGAGTGTACTCTCAAGGCCCCCAAAACCAGCCAGCTCCCAGAGACAGCAGAGCAAGTCCTCGCTTCAGTCACTCTCCCAACAGGCAGACATATAAACAAACAAAAGAATTGTTCGCACCCCCAGAGGAGGCAGCATGCATTAAAAAGACATGAACCTCGTCCTACCTTGCATCCAAACATCAACGACAAAGTGTTGTTGGTGCAAGCAACTTTGCAGTGGCAAATCATTGGTGTAAAACAGTCAGGGTCCTTAACAACAGGGGACATTCCTTTCGGGCTGCGGCAGTGGCAGCTTGCGGGGGGACCCGAACACGATGCTCGCCGGCCGGCACATGGAGCGACAGCCTAGACCGAGCGGCAGCTACGATCGCTGCCCCCTGCGCCCAGCGCAGCCATCCCAGCGCCTGGGTAGGAGCAAAGCTGAGGGCAAGTACCGAGCGTCTTCGGGGTCTCCCTTCCCTGGGGAATGAGGCGTGGGGGTAGGGACAGAACCAAGATGGGTTTTTAACCCCCTTATGGTGAATTTGGGGGAGGTAGAATTTTAAATAAATAAATAAATAAAAATAAAAGGGAGCCAGGCGCTTAGAGGAGGGTTCAAAGGAGGTGGGGCAGTATTAGCATGTAAAAGGATGTGCCCGCCTACTCGCCCCAGTCACATAAGATTGTCATGGGAGCCGAAGGGGGCTGAAATTATTCTCTGAAGAAAAAAAAAAAAAAAACTGCAGCTCCAGATTTGGTAAAAAGCCAGTGGCTTGCAGCAATCCAGAGTCACCGTGGGGAGCGCTGGCCAGGCAAGTGGGGTGGAAGGGAGGGCCGAGGGGGAGGGAGCCTGGCGCTGGCCAGCCTGGCCCAGCCGGCTGGTGAGCTCCGTGCTACGGAGGAGTACCTGGGGTAGACATGCAGGGGCTCCCAGCCCTGATGTGACCCAGGGACCACACTCGATACCCATTGCTGCTGCTGCCCGAATGAATGTAGGCGACCTCCGAGGCCGAGTTCCTGAGAAGGGGAGGGCTGCGTGGAGACCGGCTGGGCACATCCTCCCTGCCCTCTGACAAAGGCGTGCCTGGGTTGATAGCCAGCAAAGGTTCTAAGGCAGAAGTGGGCTGGCAATGGTTTCCCTGGGGCCCGAGGCCCTTGATTTCTGGGGCAGCGAGCCCACTCCCTCCCCGGGGTGGTAGAATCAATGTCAGAATCCAGCCTGATATGAGATTTTTCAAACTCAAAAAGGAAGAGTCCGCCCCTTCCCCACATTGATGTCTCAGAAGCTCCAAGAAGCCTCAGAAGTATTTATGTTGTTCCGGAAGTACGAATATCAAGACTGGTGGATATTTTATTGGTTGGGTTTTTTTTTCCCCCTTCTTTTTTTTCTTTTTAAAGTGAGGCTATCAAAATTGCAAAAGACCAAAAGATATCAGCATGTGGCTGGACCAGCTGCAAAACTGCTTATTAGAGACAAAAAAAAAAAAAAGCTATAGAAAAGGTACAGGCTAGAAAGTGGATAAAACTAGCATCCTTTGAGTGCCACCTGAGTACTCAGTACTATGCCTCAGATGGTTGGTAGAAAGAGCAAGACATCAGAGTTTGGGATCAGACCCTGGTTGTGGTGGTGAGTGTGGCTTTGTATGTCATTTACAGTGTCTGAGCCTCTGTCTGCCTGTCTGTAAATGGAGCTATTAACCCCTACCCTGCAGTGTTGTCATGCAGACCAGAGATGATAAACAACACAGTTCTCTGGTGAGCCTTGGTGGTACCTGGCTGCTCTTTACCTACATAGTGTATCTCATGTCTTAACCTGAGAAGTAAATGTTATTGGACACCTTGTCCTGGGGGTAAATGTGGCCCTAAAGGTTATGTCATTTGCCCAAGTCACACAATCAACAAGCCTTTAAGGGGGAGGTTCAAAAAAACAGTGCTGGGAAATAGTTTAAGAAGCACCTTCCTAGGAGACATTGCACACTTCTCCAAAAGCATGTCCTGAAGTCGTCAGACTGATTTGAGAAAGGTCAGGCCTGTCGTATTCACATGAAGGTGGTAGTTTCAAAAGTCTTTCTAATTGCGCACTACACTCCTATCCCATTTGGAATACAGTAACAGCATAGTCCTAACCACCCTTAGAAACTGCCAGAACCATGTCCTCCTGATGCAATTCCACCAGAATGCCAGACCACTTGTGCTCTAAAATGTATATGAGCCCCCCAAAACACTCTACTATTCAGCCTTACAAAGTTTTGCTAATAACAAAACAAAAACAATGACTTGCAAATTGTCAAGTCAAATGCAATGCCCTATAAACTTTGTTCACTTGTCCACATCCAAAATACCCCACCCTCTAGTCCCGAGTTAATGGAAACTAAACCTGATTGTATCAGAATTGCCTGTATTGCTTATTACAAAAAAAAAAAAAAAAAGATGCTCAGACCTAACCCTACATTGTCATTCCTTAGGAGGATACAAAATAATCCAAATTTTTAATCAGCCCCCTGTTGAGAGGAATATGGGTGCTTCCTACAAAATTAAGGCCTCTTGAATGGAGCTGAGGCACATCAGGTTCTAACTCAAGAGGGCAGCTAAGCCTCTCAGGCTTTGGGATTCTTAGACCAAGTGCGGGAGTTCTTACCTAGTTGCTTTCTCTACTAATAATCAGGATTGCTTCAGTCCAGCTCATATCTAGGGATTGCTGTGGCTCAGCAGATTTAATATATGTGGCCTTAACCATAGCAGATCACATTTTAGGAGAACTGGTGGCTGGTGCCTTCTGTGGAATCTTAAAGTCACATTCACAGATTCAGTGTATCCCTTAGCATTTTCTTTATGTTACCATAAAATGTGTGATTGTGAGAGCACTTCCACCTACAAAGTATCTATAATTACTGCTGCTTTTCCAAAGGAGAATGGATTCTAAAAAAAGTTGTACAATATTTCCCTTCTTCATTAGCCTATAATTTGGATTTCAAACACCCTAAAAGTATTGTATGCTCTATATTGTGATGTTCCAATAATATCTAACACAGTCTTTCCCTAATGAATTACCCGAACTAAGGCTGACCTCCAATTCTAGGGCAGCATTCAAGGCTGCTATATTCAAGTCATTTCCCATTTTACAGTTTGTGCCGGTTTAGACTGAGACAGCCAGATAAAAAAATATAAAGGAAAAATGTATATTTAGTTGCCTTGATCTTTTATTGTTTAACTTTAATCAATGAGAGTTAATTCCTCTCTCCCCCCTCCCTCCTCTAAACACACACACACACACACACACACACACACACACACACATACACACACACAAAGGGGTCTGTGTGTGTATGTGTGTGTGCATTTTTTATCTGGCATATGCATCTGACAAAATGCTTTCCCTTAATTCTTGTCTCTCAATAATAACTCTGGGATGAATTGAAGGGGGGAGAAAGAAATGTGGTTTCCATGACAATGCATTCCATAGTTACAGCCAGTAACCACTATGGTTAAAAGGAAAAAAAAGGAATCACTGTTACCTTAAGATATGAACACACTGCATTATTGGTCTGAAAAGCACTAATTTGGATGTATACTGCATGGGGGTATACTGCAATGTTTTTAGGAAGTGATATTACTAGGGAATACCAGGAGATGATGCATTCATTAAATAGTTAAAATAGCCACCCTTAATTAGACATTTCACTGGTTGGTCACATTTACAGTTCTTCCCACTAATCATCACTTTTGCAAAATGATAGACAACTACATACTATTAAACATTTTTCCTCAAAATTGACTCATAGTCACACACAAAAAACTAGAATCATCAATAAATGTGACCAGCATTTAATTTTAATCTTTTAGTATTGTTATTATTATTCCTAATCAGAAAATGGAACAAGTTAAGAAGCATTGGTTATTTCCTCACCTTTTTTTCCTTTCTCTGCTGATCCCTTCCATGGCAATTTTTAAAAAGAGATCGTTCATGTTGGAAGGGAAAAGAGTGTATTGGACAGTAGGAGCCATGGTGTTCCTTCCTACTGGCTGTGTGACTTTAACAGGCTACTCAGCCTCTCTGAGCCTCAATTCCCTTGTCTATTAAAATGAAATGGGTATACTAGAGCATCTCTAAGTTACTTCCAGTGCTGATGTTCTCTCAGTGGTCTTCCAAATATAGGGTATTAAGAACATAAAGGAAATTTGAGAAGCCATTTCCTTCAGTCCCCTGTCTTCAGAAAATGAACTCTTCTATAGTGCTTACTATTTCTTATGCTCTATTATAGTGTTTGTGATGTGCACTGTTTTAAATTCAGCAGTGTGCTAAAACCAGGTCCTACTTTTAATAGCCAACTGATTGTACCTCTTCTGAACTCTTCATTCAGTGCCACGTTGGTGGCTTGGAATCAGCCACTGAAGAAGTGCTTCCACAAGATAAACTAGCAAACACTAAGGGTCAAAACTTTTTTCTTCAAAGAAACATTTACCTGCATAGCACTGGCTTAAGTACTTTATCTACATTAACTTATTTCATTACCACAACCACTCAGTCTTATAAAAAAAAAAAAAGGAAACTGAATCACAGAGAGTTGAAGTAACTTGCACAGGCTAACAAAATTTATATACTACTTAGTCAAATGAATCAACTAACAAAAAACTCCCAATGACTTTCAACCACAAATGTTTATTTCTTCCCCATGTTAGATGTCCTTCAGTGCTTGACTGTGACTCTGGCCCAAGTTATTCCATAAACAGAAAAGCAGCCCTATCAGGGACGTGACGTTCCCATGGCAGAAGGAAAATGATGAATGGCTGAATACATAGTGGATCTTAATATTTCTGTTCAGACATTAAAAACATCTTTCTGCCCAACATCTTATTAGCCAAGGAATATCATGTGGCCAAACCTGATGCCAGTGGGGTAGGAAAGGGTAACCATCTCAAAGGGAGGAAGAAGAGAATATCGGAAACCGTAATACAGGTAAACAACAGCTTAGGTGGGTGATAGAATTGGATTTTGAACCCAACTCTATTAAATAACAAAATTTGTTATTTAATAACTCTTTGAGGGAATTCTTTCCTGTGACTCCTATGAAGAAAGCATGGTACATTTTGAGAACCTAAAAACTTTGGAGTCAATCAGACACATTAGGTTTGGCCAGTAATTGCTACATGATTTCAACCTTTATATTTTTTTACCGCTCATCCCTTTCACTACAAATTGAAGTCCACTTATCTTCATTTAATCTTTAATGGAGGTGTTTTTGTGCAATTAATTCATCAATAAGTTTATATCATAAACTATGTTTTTATCATTGAGCTCCCTAAAATATATAAAGCAGAGAGGTACATGAATGTCTTTCTACCATCAATGAGTTTACAAATTGAAAAGAATGTCATGAAATAAAGGCCAACAGTAGCTCTCCCTCACAGTGGGAAAGTATATATAATTAAGCACTAATAAATGTACTTAAAGTCCATATAGTTAAAGTCTCTGAACTACTGAGCTACCACTTCCTTTTCTGTAAAAAGGTGATAATGTTACATGATTGTTACACAGTTTACATGAGATAATGTATTTCAATATTTCTGGCACTCATCTGGTTTGTACTAGGCACTC